GCTGTTTCTGCTGCACAAAACATTTTCCTGCCTTCAGGGCCTGACCCTCCCCATCATCCAAGTTTCAAACTAAATATCACCAACGGAAGTTGGCTGCCTTGACAGCTGAGCTACTGCTGTTGGTGACTGTCCCCACGAGAGTTCCCAGGGAGACAGCTCCCATCCGGAGTTTGCCTCAAGTAACCTGGCAACTGGGCCAGGTAGGGCTCCAGGTCAACAGGAGCAGCCATGGTGGCTTTCTGTGAGCTTGTCAGTCAGCAGCTGGGCCAAGAGAGGGAACAAGAGTGTTTGGGGGAGAGGACACGGGGTGGACACCCAGAGGCAGTGAGCTGGAGCTGAAGGAGGAGCACAGATGAGTTTCCCTGGACTGTGAAGGGCTGAGAGGGAGGAGAGAAATAAGGCCAAACAACAAAGGGTTTCCTAAGCTTCACTGAGGCAGTGAACTTGATCCAGAGGGTAATTGAGAAATCACTGCAGAGTCTGAAGAAGGTAGTGAAATAGTCAGATCTTCATCTAAACAGAAACAGCCCGATAGCTAGAGGGTGTATCTTAGGATACAGAGCTCCATCCTGAACCTGAATCCCGCCTTCTCTCCCAGATGACCCCACACTGTACTTCTAGCTCTCACTCCAAATGGAATTCCAAAGTTGGTACAGGGTGCAAGGGCTTTAGCAGAGATCTTGCCTTTGACCCCTGCAGTGGGTTGACTGGTGTCCCCTCAACATCTAGCCATGGCAAATCCTATGAATGTTACATTATGTTGAAAAGGGTCTTCGCAGATGTAATTAGGTTAAGAACCTTGAGATGAGCTCATTCTGGGTTGCCTGAATGGACCTAAGTTCAAGAATAAGTCCTGTGACTTGGTTTTGAATGTTCCCCTGAGATCCACATATTGAAGGCTTTGTCCCCAGCCCATGATGCTACTGGGAGATGGGGGAACCATTAGGAGGTGGGTCCTGGTGGAAGGAAGTGAGGTCATCAGGGGCCTGAGCTCAAAGGGATCTTGAGACGCTGGTCCCTCCTTTTCTGCTCTCTTTGCTTCCTGGCCACCATGAGGTGAGCAGTTTTCTTTGCCATGAGCTCCCACCAGGATGTACTGCCTAACTTGTCAGATGGAATGAGGACAGACCAGGGACTCAGGGTCCCCAAAATGAACCCAAATACATTTTTTTCCTTATAAGTTGATTATCTCAGATATTTTGTTATAGTAACAGAAAGCTGACTAACAGTAATTGTCCTTATAAGAGACAGAAGAGAAGACACAAACAGAAGAGGAGGCTGTGTGGCCACAAGGCAGAAATTGGAGTGGTGTGGCCACAGGCCTGGGAGCCAAGGATCTCCAACAATGGTAGGAAGCTGAAGAAGCAAAGAACAATTCTCCCCAAGAGCCTCTGGGGGAATGTGGCCCTGCTGAGTCTTAATTTCAGATTTCTGGCTCTCAGAAGTTTGAGCTGGTACATTTCTATTGTTTTAAGCTACCCAGTTTGTGACGATTTGTTGCCACAGTCCTGGAAAACTAACACAACCCTGTTCCCTAACTGAGAAGCTTCAGCCTAACTCAGAGAGCTTCGCTATCCCTGGACCTTTATAAACCAGACAACTTCCTACCTGTATAGAAGGTTGATTGCTAGCGGGACGAAGAGCCACACCAGGCCATCAGTAGGTCTTTCTTCTCTGTACTGCTTGGTTCTAAAAGGCCACCTTTGCTGAATCCAAGAATATGTATCGCTAGAATGAACCAACGTGCAAGTCAGTGGAGCTAAGTCTCCGCTGTGGCCCTGGGAGCTCTGCGGGAGGACAGCAGGCTGCTCTGTGGAGGTAGATGCAGGGATGGATGCTTGTTGTTTAAACAGGATTCCTAGCTTCAGGTTCCTCAGAGAGCTTGTGCTCTGGAACATTCTGCCTGGCCTTTACAGTAGCCTCACTTGTTGTGAGACTCCATGAAGAGGTCCCTAAAGCACCCACTGTGTGCTGGCCTTGTTCTGCACAGTCCCCACTTAGGCACTTCCTGGGGCATAGTAAGTGGCTGAATTTCTGAACAGTGAGAATCCAGCCCATCTCTGACAGTGTCAGGAATCAACCCTCAGGTCTGCTGTCACTTCCCTGGGTCTCCTCCCCTCTCCCCACACCCAGCCAAGTTAGGCTCCTCTGTCGGAGGTTCTCCTCTGGAAGACCAATAGACAGTGCAGTGATGCAACTGCAGTTTTCCCCTGATTCGCTGTCAGCACTTCAGTAACCAGCCCAGTCCCTGGCTCATGGGGGGTTTCCTAGAAGGAGGCGACAAGCTAAACAGGCCAGTTCTCGGTCAGTTTTCAGAAGGTGCCTGGCAGAAGGTTCTCATCCTCCAGTGGCGAAGTTTCACCTGATAATTTTTTTTTTTTGGTACTGGGGATCGAACTCGGGACCTTGCACTTTCTAGGCAGGCACCAGAAACACTGAGCTAAATCCCCAACCCTCGTCTGGTAATTTTGAACCTTCTGAGATCACCTATAGCCAGGGGCCCAGGCTTCATTCTCCCAGAGGAAATAGGATCAAGGAGAAAAGGCCCAGGGCAGAAATCAGGCTGTGTGTGGGACTGAGAGGGTATCAAGGCTAAACTCAGAATTACCAGAGGCCAAAATTTCACAACCCTCCTCCATGAGGAGGGATCTGTGACAGCTGTTTTAGCCTTCCCTAAAATGGTATTCCATACCACCTTCCCTATAATGCTCTGTTCCTTTGCTTCCCACACCGTTTTAACTTTGCAAATAGCACTCAGTTGAGCTGGACTCTAAAGGCATCCATAATCTTCTCAAGTACAGTCGGGCAGTAGCCAAACTTGGTGATAAATGGCTATAATTTCAGCTACTCAGGAGGCTGAGGCTGGAGGATTGGGAATTCCAAGCCTGCCTGGATTACAGAGGAAGATGCAGTCTATAAAAAGGATGGGGAAAAAATAAAATTTAAAAAAAAGGATGGAGAGGGGACAAAGAGTCACCTCGTTCAGAAATCCTCCCTGAAAGCTCTTCTGCTCATGCTGAAACAAGAGTGATTTGCAAAGCCGGGTGCAGCAGTGCATGCCGATAGTCCCAACAGTCCAGAGGCTGAGGCAGGAGCCTGGCTTGAGCCCGAGTTTAACGCCAATCTGGACAACATAGTAAGAGCCTGTCTCAAACAAAAAGAAAGTGATTTGCAGAGAAATGTGGTAAATCCAAGGTTGCAGACTGGTTGCCAATGACCCCTCTTTGAAACAGGGACACGATGATCCCTGTCTAAAACAAGAGAATGCTCAAGTGCATGCAGAGTGCTCGGCAGCATCTGACCACGGTCACAATTACTTGTGGTTCCGGTGCTAGGAATAGTTTATGTACCTCTGCAGTTAAAATAGTATACAGCTCCTTCTCCCACCAGACAAAGGCAGGCCACTCATTGCTTGGTTGTCCCAGGGTATACTGTGGCCAAGAACCATTCTGAGTCAGCCATTCAGGAAGAAAAGCCAAAGTCACGGTCATCTCTTGCTGTTATTAAGCACTGGGCTTTTGCAAAGTCTGTGTAGATTTCAGAAGATACAGGTCCTGACATTACCTCTCCTGGGCATTTCTGTCACTGTAGCATCCTTAGAAGGTCCGTTTAGGTTCAGTGAAGAGAGGGAAAGAAACAAGAAAGGAAGAAACCCCTTGATCTAGCTAGTTAAGAAGTCTTTTTTTTTTTTTTTAACCGAGGATTGAACTCGGTTCCTTGCACTTGCACAGCAGGCCGCGAAACCACTGATCTAAATACCCGGACCCTAGAAGTCTTAAAAAAAAAAAAAAAAGAAGTCTTTGGCCGGGATTTAGCTCAGTGGTTCCACCGCCTGCCCCGCAAGTGCAAGGACCTGAGTTCAATCCCGGGTACCAAAAAAAAAGAAAGAAAGAAAGAAGTCTTGGGCCTGGGATTTAGCTCAGTGGCACCGATCCTCCCTTGAAAGCACAAGGTCTGGAGTTCCATCCCTGGTACCATAAAAAAAGAAAAGAAATCTTTGTTGTCCTCAGTTAGGGCTCTGTCTTTTGCCTCTTTTCTGAAGGCCCATAAAGCAGACTATTTTATTATGTTTGCTTTCTTTCTATAAAATCTTACTCTAAGAGAACCACCTTATAGACTTCTTCATACTGTGGTGGCTTTATTTTAGCTCATTTTTATAAGGGGAAAAGCTTTCAAAGAAACAAATACCTTCAAGAAAGTAAGTGTACAGATGGGCTGGGGATTTAGCTCAGTGGTTTTGCCGCCTGCTGTGCAAGCGCAAGGACCCGAGTTCAATCCCGGTACAAAAAAAAAGAAAGAAAGAAAGAAAGTGTGCAGAGAGGGGGTGTAGAGGGCCTTTCCAGTGACTTAGAAAGCACACTGCTGTGTTCCATAGCTTTGCTGTGGCATGAAGTTTCGGGTGAGTCGAAGAGACTGAGCAATTTCTAAACCCTCCATCTTCTTCCTTTAAGTGGGAAAGTAGGCAAGGGCATGGTGGGAAGTAGGGGACATGGGAGCTAGACAGAGCAGAGGTACATAAACTAGTGAAGGCTCTACACGCACCAAAGACATTTTGCAAGGAAAGCAGAGGTGGCAGGGAGGAATACAGAGCTGTTTCTTCACAGCAGGACTTTAAATGTCATACAAAGGGGCCCTGGGCTTTTGGGACTTTGCGTTATCTCAGCCACCTCCTTCAGACCTTTCCACCCTGTGGGATGTCCCAAGTCATGGCCAGTGTGTTCAAGAGGGCCTCATCTTGTGGGCAGGTGCAGCCAACCTGCATACTGTGTGGGATTCCTCATTCACCTTGTGGGTAGTGACAAAGGGCCTGGACCACATTCTGCTTCATGAGGCCTGAGGGATATGGGGCAGAATGAAAAGGACTGGGAGGAGTGTCCGATGCCCTCCCTTCCCAACAGCTCTCCAGGTTCAGGACGGTGTGATGCCAGGGTGTGACTACCTGGCCTCTGTGGGCCCTGGGCAAAGGGGGTGCATATTGCATGAGATGGGTGAGCCAGTCCTGGAACACAAACACCAGTATATTTTATGTGCACACATATGAGAAGGGAGAGACAGAGACCAATGGAGACACAGCAGGCAATGCACACACAAACCAGTCATGTGTCTTTCTTAAGAGTCACTGGGATGGAAGACAGTCCCACCCATTTCAAAGCCAGGGCCTGCAGCCCCTCCAGGGCAGCCTTCAGGGTGGATGGTTCTCTCCCTGCCTTAGCCATAGCTCAAGGACTGATGTCTCACCTACCTGCCTGCCCTGGTGAGTGTCTGCACAGCTCAGAGCTTCGTAAGTGCAGGTCCTCACATGAACTGTCTCAGCAGCAGCTTCCCCAGGAGACCCATGCAGAGCAAGGACCAGGACAAGAGGGCTTCATGGACACTCCCCAGGTATTATTGCTAAGAATAAGCAAGGGCCGTTGTGACTCACTGACATTGAGGAGGGGACAGGGCACAGGAAGCCTAGCAGATGTCCAAAGCAGCTGAACCATGCAGGGCAGCACACTTGCAATCTGCAACTCAGAGAGCTGTCATGGCCAGCACAGTGGCACAGGATGCCAGAGGCTCATCAGCATCTGGCACACTCCTGCCAGCAGGCCCACAGCTTGGCAGGGCTGGGGTTACTCCAGACCTGAGCCCTGGGCACTAAGGGATTGGAGCTCTGAAGATACCACAAAAAACAAGAGTTTGAAGTCTGGGCAACCTCTTGTGAGATCTAAATCTGCAGATTCTGTGGTCAGGTCACAGGCTATAGTCTCCCTGAGCTAGGGGCTCTGCGCCCTGTGAGGGGCCACAGGGGCAACAGAGCACCTTGAAGCAAGACCACAATGCTGAACGTTTTCAGGCATGCAGGTTCAGTCCAGGAACTCTTGTACTTGGGACTTGCAGGGCCCAGAGAGGAAATGGGTGCCTGGGAATGCCCACAAGGCAACATCAGGAGTGGTACACCCAGGCAGGCCATCAAAGGCTGCACCCCTGGCTGACAGTTAAGGAGGTCTTATTCTAGGAGACCTCAGCAAGCTGGCGACTGGGTTCAGTTGTAGAAGGGGAATGTGAAGGCGGGTGGCCTGGAGGGGTGCCAGGGCACGGGAGACTGTGGCAACATGGAGTTGGGGGAAGGTACCAAGGAACTGATTGCCCAGCAGAAAGAGGAAATCCCCCTACAAATGGACGGAAAGTAATCCACCCCCTGACTCTCTGTAGTCCTAAAAGCCCTGATTGAGGCCATAACAAAAGCTAAGGTGGGCGGGGTGAGCCACCACAGACCGGAGTTTGCTATCTGAGGAGCCTTCACAGGAAACGGGCTTGGAAAACACCACGCCTCCTGCCCCTGACACGATGAATGGCAGGAAAACACTACCAAAGGCTGGGTGTCTAAACCTTTCTCCTGTCTCAGGCCGCACCTATTACCCACCCTGGCTGGTGCTGCCCATCCACTCCAGGTGTAGCAGCCAACAAGGAAGAGGAGCTCTCTCCACAAGTGGTACTGTCACTTTTTAATGATCTACAAGGAAGGGAAGGCTAATTTCTACCTCAGTCCTAGTGTGGTCAAGGTGAGACCACGTCCCACAGGGTGGTCCACTTTCTTAGGGACCCCTCCCTGTGGAGGGTGGGCGATAGAGCCAGAGGGGCTGCAGCGAGGATGTTACCTGTCCACTGCCAGCAATGGATCTGTCACAGGGAAAAGGGAGACCCCTAAGATGGTGATGACCACGAGTGCGGCAGGGGTAACACTGTCTGAGGAGCAAGCTCAAAGCTTCAGCCTTGCCAGGAGGGTGAACGGGAGGGGCAGCCCTGAGGTTTAGCTGCAGAGCTGGGGCCATGGTAGAACCAGAACGGATCCCTTCGTCCCATGAGGAAGGCTCTAAAGAGCCTCCCGTGGTCCTTTTTTTCTTTCTCATTCTCCATGGGTCTCCAACTCTGGATACCTGCTCCTCCATCCCCTAGGAAGGTACTTTGCCTCACTGGCTTGAAAATAAACCAGTACTGGCAAATAGGACCTGGAGCTGTCTCTTCCCCCACTGTACTGATTTGCCCCTTGGGCCAACTATGCACTGGGGGCTACCTTTGTTTTTAGCAGGGCCCTTGCAGGGAGGGGACGCTGCCAAGTAGCCCACCAGATCAGAGCTGAGGAGGCAGAACTCAGGACCTCCTGGTCATTGGGCCATCAGGAGGAGTGGAGGCTGCAAAAAGGCAGGCGGGGTCTGTCTCAGGATTTGACCCCTGGCTGATGCCATGTCAGCTAGGGAGCTGGGGACAGTGAGGGGCAGGTGTGGTGACCAACACAGATAAAAGGGCTGCTAGGGGTAAAGGCCTTGAAAACAAGAAAAAAAGGGGAAACACCACCGAACACACAGGGACTGAAACCTCCAAAAGCCCAAGGTTGGTGGGAATCCAGCACCACAGGGGCCCCCAGAAGGCCAAGGGAGCAGCGTGGGGCCCTGGGGGAGGGGAGAGGAGTCAGGGAAATGTTCCCAGTGTCTGCAGACCAGCGCTGCTGCCAAGCCGCTTGGTGGCTACAGGGTCTCTCTTAGGCTGCAGCTCAGCAGGCCCCCGGGGAGGTATTGGTTGCAAGCAAGCACCTGAATATTGCCTAATGGAACCAGCCAAAGCCCAGCTACATCTGGGTGAGAGGGAGGGAAGGGGCCACAGAAGCAGCCCAAAGCCTTGGCCGACCTTGCCTCTCACCTTTGGCCCCATTCACAATGTTCCCTAGTCAAGACAGGGCCTATTGCTTCCTAGTCATCCATGCAGTCCAGACATTGCCCAGCCATGTTGCCCTGCACTGGTGGAGATCCAGGGACCCTTCCCAATGTCCTTCTGTTGCCTTGACACCTGGCCCCCCAACACAATTCCCCCACGGAGGGTATGGGGCTGTATTCACCCTACTAGGGCAGGGCTTGTGGCAAACTGAAGAGGCAATGCCACCAGCTTGGTCTTTTTGTCCATGGGGTCCATGAGAGCCTCCCTAGCCCTCCCCCAGCCATCCCCTACTCAGTCAGTCTTGACATGTCCATTAGCCAGGGCCACAGGGCCACCGGGTTCGGCGTCCTTGTCAAAGCGGAGGCGAAGGGTGTTGCGGATGATGAACTGCTCCACAATGAGGGCCCCGCAGAACCAGGGCACAGCGTACTCCAGGGTGATGAGGCCCATGAAGTCGAAGTCAAACTGAGAGTAATCCCAGGGGCAGGCGTTGAACTGGCGCAGGATGAAGCCGGTGGTGAACTCCCACAGGTAGGTCCAGAGCGTGTAGATGAGGCAGCGCAGCAGGAGCGGGCAGCGGCCCCGCAGGCGCAGGTACATGCGCTCCACGATGAGGATGGAGGTACCGTAGATGAACAGGGCCCACACGCTCGTGACGCCCGGGAACTTCCAGTTAAAGTTCACCACGAACTCCCAGGCCGCTGTGAACATCACCTCACAGAAGTAGCCGTGGATGGCGTACAGGTACCAGCGGGACAGCGCCGTCAGGGGCTCGGCAGAAGCCATGGCGCTGGCTCGGGCCTGCTGCAGGGGACACAAAGGGAGAGGTGAGGGATGGAGGGAGCCCCCACACTGCATTCCCACCACCCAGGCCCGACCAGAGAGGATTTCACACCGCCTCTACCTTTCTTCTTGGGCTGTCTATTATATCCTACAGCTCTTCTGGATTATCCGTGGTCACCTGAAGAACAGGTTGTGTTAGGTCACCAGTCACCCCATTCCTAAGCTGCCAGCTGATTTCTCACCAGGTCCATCCCCCACGGACTCCATCGCTCACCCATTTCTTCTCCAACAGTTCCATGTCTCTCTTATTTCTGAGAGCTAAGCAACCCACCACCTTTGTCTCTGTGTATGGTGACATATACATAACAACTACCATGTTAACTATTTAAGCTACAATTCAGTGGCATCCGAACATTAACAATGTTGTGTGACCATCACCACCTTCCACCCCCAGAACCTTTTCATCCCAAACAGAAACAGAAAGTAACACCTCATTCTTCCTTCCCCCAGCAGCTGGCAATCATTCCTTCTGTCTCCATGAGCGACTACTCTGGGCACCCCAAGTAAGTGGAATTACAGTATTTGTTCTTTTGTGTCTCCCTGAATGTCCTCAGGGTTCATCCATGATGTAGCATGTGTCTGAATGCCCTGCCTCTCCACGGATGAATAAATCCCCCCTGGATGTACAGAACACGCATGGTTGTCCACTCATCTGTTCAGAGGCACCCGGATTGCTTCCACCATTCCACTATTGTGAATGAATAGCATTCACAATGCATCTCTTTGAGACCCTGCTTCTGATTCTTTTGGGTCCATACCCAGAAATGGAATCCATTCTGTGATATCAGTATGGTTAACTTCTTTTTGTTGTTGTTGTTGTTATTTTAAAAAAATAATTTTATTGGTACATTTTAGGTATACAATATAATGACATTCATCATTGGAAATTTGCACCTTTACATAATTTCTCTTGGTTCTTATTTTTTCCCCATTCCCCTGCCCTCCCTTCAACCCCTCCATCCCTCCCTATTTACAAAGACTTTGTTTCCATTTTTTCATTTTCTCATATTAATTCCATTCCCTTCTTTCCTTTCCCCTACCCCTCCCACTTCCCCTTCCCCTTTGCCCCTTTTCTTCCTATTTCACATTATCTGTTATACCTTTTAGTCCTTATTTACACTTTTAGTTTCCCACACTAGAGAAACTATTTGGTATTTACACATGTGTGTCCTATTTATTTCACTTAAGAGTATGGCCTCAATGTACATCCATTTAGCTATAAACGTCTCTAATTTCTTATTTTTTATGGCTGAGTAGTACTCCATTTTATTAAAAAAAAACCCCACATTTTCTTTATCCAGTCTCCAGTTGATGGGCATTTGGGCTGTTTCCAAGCTTTAGCTATTACAAACTGTGCTGCTATGAACATGGGTGCACATATATCACTGTGGTATGATTCTTTTAATTCTTTGGGGAAGATACCCAGCAGGGGAATAGCTGGATCAAATGGGACTTCCAGTCCTAGTTCTTTGAGGTATCTCCATACTGATTTCCACAGTGGTTGCACCAGACGACACTCCCACCAGCAGTGCAGCAGTGTTCCTCTTTGGTATGGTTAACTTCTTGAAAAACTGCTACACTGTTCACATTTTACATTCCCAGCCGCAATGCACCGGGTTCCAGTCGCTCCACATCCTTGCCAATGTTCATGTTTTCCATTTTCCCCGTAAAGGCCATCCCTATGAAATACCTAAAGCAGTCTGTCCCTGTAGTCACATGTGTCTTTAACAGCCACGTTAAATGGAGTTTTGGTATTTAGTTTCAAAGTTGAAAGGGAACCAGCGGGCTAAGAGAGTAGAGTGCTCCTTCCCCTTCTCTCTGTCACCTTCCCTTCCCCCTTCTTGCCCTCCAGAGAGGGTCTCTGTCCACTTCAGATATCACCTTATTCACTTTTTGAAGTATGTGCCCTTCTGACATGACTAGCCTGGCGACTCCCTGAGGGCAGAAGGTGTATGACAGCCCCGTTTTGCAGTCCCTGGTACAGGCCTCTCTAAATGATATGCCCCACTTATACAAAGGGTGGTAGGGGAAGAGTTCAGGTGGCATGAAGAATGGAAAGCTCTACCAGCTGCCAGCTATCGGCTTAACATCTGTCAATCACCTCTCCAAGGTAGGACAGGGAACAGAGGTTAATGAGATGATGGAGGCATTAGCCTACCTGTCTGGTGTCATCTTTCAGCCAACACAGGCCACACTGGAATAATCCCTGCCCACCCTGTGCATGGATGGCTCTGTATTTTTCCCAGCACTTCAGTCACATTTTCTCACTGGTTCTTACTTAGGATTCATCTGAAGGGCATTTTACTCTATTTTTTAATTTTTTTTTGGTCCTGGGGATTGAATCCAGGACCTCTGCAACGAGCAACATCCCTATTCCTTTCTCAATTTTGAGACAGGGTCTTACTAAATGTCGAAGTTTCCCAGGGTGGGTTCAAACTTGCAATCCTCTTGCCTCGGCCTCCCAGAGAGCTAGTATTACTGGTGTAAGCCACCACGCCCAGCTTTACTCTTACATTACAGGTGAGACAGTGGGGCTCAGAGAGGAGAAATCATCTATGCATTATCCCAAGGCCAGTAAATGGAAGATCTCAGACAAGAACCAACATCTCCTTGATTCCCACTTCCAAATTCACCCCACTACCGCCCATCTCCTAGACATGTGTATCTCAAGTCACTGTCCCACTCAGACACATTCAGTGGCTCCCTTTTTCCTAATGAAATACCACCCTATCTTTGGTCTGGCATTCAGTACTCTTCGTGATCTCTCCCCAGTCTACTTTTCCAGCCACATTCTCACTATCCAGAGTCTGTCTCACCTGCATACTTTGTAGATCCTACTCGCCCTCTTTGGTGACACTCCACAAGCACAAATCCAAAATACAGCGATCTTCAGAACGCAATCTTTCCTCTCCTCAGTCACAAATTCTCTCTTCTGAACTTCCACAGATTGTTATATTATGTTGATATACAGTACAGAGCCAGATCTCTTTCCTCTGTTCCACTCCTATATATACTGCTCTTTCCTGGTCACCTCTCCCTAAGTGTCTCACAGATATCTCAAATTTCTTTCCTAAATCAAACTCATTATCTTTCGCCCAAACCAGTTTGGCTCCTCTGACTCCGCCCTGAGTAATGGCACCATCATGCACCCAGTCATAAGCCAGAGGCCCTGAGCCACATTCGCATGTGAACCTGAGCTCCTAGTAAGGACCCATCTGTCTGGTTCAGCATGGTGTCCCCAGGGCCTGGCACAGGGCCTGGCACACAGTTAACATTCAACACAAGGATGAAGGCATGTCTCAATCACAGGTGCCCTCTAACAAACCCCCAAACCCGGAGGCCTAAATCGCCTATCAATTAGAGCAGCTCCTGCAGCTGTGGCCGGCAGACACTGGCTGGCTTTGATCAGGAGGCTGTGAGTCGCTAGGGCTCTGTTCAGTGCTTGGCTTGGGAAGCTGGGCCGGGGCAGCTGTGCTCCACCAATCTCTGTCCTCCACCCTGGCTCAGCAGACTGGTGCTGGGCACACACTTCTCATGGTGAGAGCGGAGGCACAAGAGCAGCAAGACCTGCTGTACAGGTGTTTTCCAAGACTCTGGCCGAGCGGGGAAGGGAGAGAAGGTGGTTAACTGGAACAGGGCTGCAGCTGGACAGGGGGAATAACTAGTTGTACGTTGCAAAATAGTAGAGAGGATTTTAACTGTTACCAAAGAAATGGTAACCAGTTACCATTCACCAGAGATACACCAGTTCCCCCATCTGATCATCACACACTGTGTACATGTATTGAAATGTGACACTGTACCCCATAAATATGTACAATTACCACAAATCAGTTAAAAAATTTAAAAATATTAAAATTCTTTTTAAAAAAATCTCAATAACACACTCAGAAGGCTGAGGCAGGAAAATGACAGTCCCATTTTTCAAAAGGCTCTGGTTGAGACATGCTCACTAACAGCTCACGGGCCAAGCCAAATCACATGGCAAAGCAGACATTCTTGCCCTTTCTACCTCTTGCATCTCTCTGAAATCCATCTCCTCAATCCTCAAAGAACTAGGACTACAGGTCCCATTTGACCCAACTATTCCCCTACTGGGCATCTTCCCCAAAGAATTAAAAGAATCATACGACAGCGATATATGTGCACTCATGTTTATAGCGGCACAGTTTGTAATAGCTAAAGCTTGGAAACAGCCCAAATGCCCATCCACTGGAAGCTGGATAAAGAAGATGTGGTTTTCAACACTGCCATCCCTATAACAAAACCACTTTCTACATCCTGCCAGATCTGACTTCTAATAATTTGTTTTGTTAAACAAATTTTTATCTATGTTCATACTTTTTTCTTCTATTATCTTTATCCAGTTTTAGGATTAGCACAATGTTGAGTTCCTAAAATGAGGGGAGAAGTGTTCCTTCTTTTTTCTGCTTTAATTATTTGATATAATTTATCAGTTAAAATGTTTATGAGCCTGCTGTTGTCATATAGGTAGGTTTTCAAGCTAGGAATATACTTTAATAGGTGCTATTCAAATTTTATATTTTCTCCAGAGTTAGTTTCATTAATTTGTCTTCCAAGGTACTTCTTAGAAGTTGTCAAATTTATTTCAGAAAAGATTTTTGTAATATGCATTCTGTATCCTTTTAAATTCTTTAAAATCTGTGGTAATGTCTCCTAGATCTTAATACTGTAATTTTAAAAATGTATAACTGATATTGTGTAACAGGAAGAAAAGGTCTAAAAGAGCAGGGGAATTGGGAGAGGTAGGGGAAGGGAAAAAAGGGAAAGGAAAAAATATGAGAAGGGGAATAAAATGGAAACAAGGTCTTTGCAAATAGGGAAGGGTGGAGGGGGTGAAGGGAGGGCAAGGGAAGGGGAAAAAAAGTAAGAACCAAGAGACTCATGTAATGGTACAAGATCCCAATGATAAATGTAACTGTATTTTATACCTAAAATGTACCAATAAACTTAATGGGGAAAAAAAAAAAGAACATGTGGGTTTTTTTTTTTTTGGTACCAGGGATTGAACTTGGGTCCTTGCGCTTGCAAGGCAGGCATCAGAACCACTGAGGTAAATCCCCGGCCAAGATGTGCTTTTTTTTATAAAATGGAGTACTACTAAGCCATAAAGAACAAGAAACTGGAGTCATTTATAGCTAAATGGATGCACATTGAGGCCATCCTCTTAGGTGAAATAAATAGGACACACATGTGTAAATACCGAATAGTTTCTCTAGTGTGAGAAACTGAGAGTGTAAATAAGGATGAAAATGATTAAAACGAATAATTGATAATTTGAAATAGGAAGAAAAGGTCCAAAAGTGTAGGGGTAGTGGGAGGGGAGGGGGAAAGGGAAGAAGGGAAAGGAAAAATTATGAGAAAGAAAAAAAAAATGGAAACAAAGTCTGTGTAAATAGGGAAGGGTGGAGGGGGTGAAGGGCGCACAGGGAAATGGGAAACAATAAGAACCAAGAGACATCATGTACAGGTACAAGCAGCCAATGATAAATGTAAACGTATTGTATACCTAAAATGTACAAATATGTAAATATAAATAAATAAATAAAAAAGAAAGAAATCCGTCTCCTCTTCAGTCCTCTCTTCTCTTTTTTTTTGGTACCAGAAATCGAACTCGGGACCTTGCGCTTGCGAGGCAGGCGCCGGAACCACTGAGCTAAATCCCCGGGCCAACCCTCTCTTCTCATTGCTGCTGCTCTGGCTCAGGCCCTCGTCACGTCTCCTTAGATAATGGCTCGCTCGCTTCCTGTTCAAATTACATGACACATGCCAGGTGTGGTGGAGCACAGCTGTAATCCCAGCTCTTGGGAGGCTGAGGCAGGAGGATTGCTGCGAGTTCGAGGTCAGCCTGGGCTACGAGCAAGACCCTGTCCCCCCCCAAAAAAATCTAAACAAAAATATGTAGAGTATAATAAAAAGAATAGTGCACTGTTAAAAAACCAAAACAAAACAAAAAACAAATCGCATGACACAAGTTTTTTAGAAAGAGCAATCTTTTAGCTGACTGTAGGGTGCACATCTGTAATCTCAGCACTCAGGAAGCTGAGGCAGGAGGATGGCGAGTTCAAAGCCAGCCTGGGCTATGCAGAGTTGAAGGGCAACTTGGACTATATAGGGCGACCCTGTCTCAAACCTCCTGACCCCCAAAAGGTCAATCTTTCTATGGCAATCTGATGTTTCTCTCCACTTAAAGCCCACTGGTGAACCTTCAACACCTACATTTCCGAGGGATGGCTGGCAAAGCCCTGTGCAGCCCAACTCTGCCCCATGCTCATCTTCTGGACCTCTGTGTTGCTGTCTTTGCTCCCTGGGATGCCCTTCCCACCTGCCAATCTTGCCTCCTCCATACCCCACCATGGACCGTGAACCCCAAACCTTCCCCTAAGACTCCAGAGCTGTTTGCTGCCCAATCTGCTAGACCTACACAGCAATAGTTAGTGTTTGGCTCTGCCATGCTTCATCTAAGGCCAGCACTAGTAGCCACTTGAGGAACATTTCATATACTATTAAGACAAAAAGGCAGGATTCAAAACTGAGAATTTAATATGATTCTGATTTTGCAAAATTGTCATCCATCCATGCAAATATGCAAGAAAATGACCAACGATCTTATTTATATATGAGTCTTATTTATATTTTCCTATATACATTAAAATTCTTCCTATCAGCCAAGCATAACTTGTGTAAAAATTTTAAAAATGCTTGTTTGGGGATTGGAGTGAAGCTCAGTGGTAACCCCTGGGTTTAATCCCAAGTGCTGCATAAAAACAACAAAAGCTTGTTAGTGGGGTGTGGTGGTGCACAATTATAATCTCAGCACTCTGGGATGCTGAAGCAGGAGGGTTCCAAGTTTGAGGTCACCTGGGCAAATCAGTGTGACCCTGTCTCAAAGAATGCAGCATAGTGGTAGAGCATTCCTGGGTTCCATCCCCAGTGTTGCAAGGAAAAAACAAAAATAAAAGCTTGTTGAAAGAGCATGTATGAATCCTCTTTGGACCTTGTATATAAAGCCAAAAAGAAACCTGAAGTCATGTAAAGTTAATTCAGGTTCTTTCCTCCTGAGTTGTCCCCATCAAGACCCACAGTGCCCTGCCTGGTACTCTTCAGCCGTGAGATCTAAGACCAGAGAGCTGATTGCTGCATGCCTTAGTTTCCTGACAGGTACAGTGAGGACAGTCAGAGTAACCAGCACAGCTATTGTGAGGATGAATGAGCTCATGGACACTTACCACCTGAATGCCGCACATCCTCCAGGCACGGTAGCGTTCTTTCCGGACTCTGGACACACCCTCCTGCTTTGAGGGCCACCTCCTCCCTAGGCTGGGTCACAGTACCCTTGCCCTCTCCAGCCTTGGGGCAGCCTTCCCTGCCAAGCAGGCCACCTCCTGAGCGAGGAAACTCTGTGGATACATACAGCGCTCTCTCAAGGACACAAAGACCCCACATACAGCCTAGGAGGACAAACTCGAGCAGCCAGCTTCCCTGGGCCGAGGAGGCTGAGTTCAAGAGGATGGGCCTCAGAGCCAGCCCCCTGAGGGTCAGTCTGGAAAAGGGTTCAGTGAAAAGATGAGCATTCCCAGTGCAGCCTCTCACACCTTCATTTTATCCAGAACCTTCCTTCACCAGGTGAGGGGGAACAGATTCAGGCTGCAGGGACATAGGAGGGACTGAGAGACACTGAGGCAGGCAACCCAGGCACAGTGATCCGGAGACCACTGGGCCTCCTAGTCCAAGGCAGACCCCTTCTGCACACTGGTCTGCCTGCTGGCTTGCACACACTGCTGGCTCACCCTAAGCAGGGGGAAGTGAGTCCCTGGGGTCCTGGCTGAGGAGAAGGGGGTTCCCACTCAAGTGTTTTCCTACAGCAGCCTGGCTCAGGCTAGCCCCAGCTAACTTTAAGCCCTGTGGCCCTTCCCTCTGATTTAACACACCTGGTCAGCTAACACTGGCTTACCAGTAGGTCAAAAACCAGAGATTCTCCAGCCTTTCCCAGGTGACCTGGAAAACAGCTGGATCCCAACACCCTATCAGCAGAAGCAGGATGAAAGGAGTAGTCATCAAAGGGAGAGCGAAACCTCAGGTGAAAGAGGGCAAACTGCACAGAAGGGAGGTGGAAGGAGAGGACAGGGGGAGCCCCAGGCCTAGATTCCGTTTCTGGCACGAGGTGGAAAGCATACCTAAAGAAAATCAGACCTTGTCCAAAGGGCTGTGCTAGGAGAGCACAGCAGGTCCACACAAGACAAATGGGGCCAGCTGCAAGACTCACTGCAAGACCCTGTGCAGAAAACAGGGTGTAAAGTCAAAGGGATGAGACAGAGTCCTTAGCTCAGCATGGCAGGAGATGTTAAGGTTAGAGGCTAGGGCTTTGGCTTGGGAACATGATCAGAGCTCCACTCCTCTTTTCTAATAATCCCAGGAGCTGTGTAACTTTGAGCTAGGACAGGCTCACCACCCTCTGCTGAGCCCAAAAGTCCCCTGCTCCCTGCCCTGGTCTCCTCCCCCACACTTGACCCCCTTTATCCTGGGCTCCTTCCAAATACCTGCTTGCTCAGTCCTGGAGTCAGAGCCATGAGAAAGCCTGCAGCACAAAGAATCGGCAGCTCGGCAGATGTTGGCCTAGTGACAACACAACTATCCTGAGGACTGTGACATGAAAGCTGGACTGTTCAGGAAAGAAAATTCCAGATAAAGAGGAGAGTGTGGATAGGATTGGAACATGAGAAAATCACTTGGAGAGTAGTAGATGGTTTTACAAGCAGGGTTTTCGGAAAGAGCACTCAATTGGCAGAGTCCTTATGCTTGTTGATACAGAACTTGGGAACACGGTGTCCTTGTAATTTACAGGCCAGAGCTCAAGGTGACGTGTCAGGGCAGGATGTGACCCTCCAAGGGAACAGGTGTTGAGGAGGGGAGCTGGTTCTCAGTGTCCTGCTCCCTACGAGCATCACACCTGCTGCTCTCAAAGCCTGCTGAGCTCTTCACAGGGTAGCCAAGGATAGAGTGGCCAGTGGACAGGGGTGAACCCCTAAGAGTGGACAGGCTGCAGGCAAAGCCAGAGGGAATGACTGCCCTTGGTTTTGCCAAAAACTCTCATTCTGGGAAGTAGGGTGCCATAACACGGTGATGCTGGGACATTTTGTCCAGAGAAGCCTATTGCTAGAAGATTGAGACCATCTTAGCACACAGCCAGGCTGGGTAAGCCTTCTTTCACCCTGTTCACTTCCCAAGCTTTTGTCCCCATCCTCAGGCACCTAAATCACTATAGTGCTTTGCTCTGGGGAGGTGCATGGTCCCTTCTAGCAGGTCCCTGGTGAAAGGCAGTGAGGGACAGCTTAGGACAGCCTGAGTCCAGACCCCAGATTCAGTGCTGGGGCTCAGCAGAGGCAATGAGGGGAGGGCAGTTGATCTACATGTGGGGTAAGTTACATGGCCTGAAGTGGTCCTGATTCCCAAGTGAACATCAAGTATCGGGGAGGAAAACACAGACCTGCTTCAGGACCCAAGGAAAACAAGTGGAGGGAAATACTTACCGCCTCTGGCTGGCTCAGATACCCCTGAGTTTCACCCCTTTTGCTGTGGACACCCCTCAGGATCAGTCCCTGGGATCAGTGAAGCTGAAGGCCTTCAGGGGCCCTCCCTCTACCTCCAAATTCCTGGTAATAATAACCACCACAATCTTCTCAGCGCTTTCTGTGTATTAAACTAGATAAACCTCAAGCTCATTTTACAAATAGGGAAAGTGAGGCAGAGACAGGGTGAACAGTTAGCCTATGTTCTTGTAAGTATAAATGCTAAATCTGAGATTCAAACTCCACAAGTCTGGCTCCAGAGTCTTCACTCCTCACCAGCATGCTGCACCGCCCTGAATGCTAACTGAGGCTCCTCTAGCATTTTCTAAGTTGCTGTTCCTGGAAGTCTGGAATGGATGGCATCTGGAGAAACAACTGAAAGTAGGAAGGAGGCATACTTCTAGGAGGATCATCAAGGAAGCTCAGAACTGTATGTTAATACTACCAGGACTCCCAGCCTATCCGTCAAGCCAAATTCTGGCAGGATGTACACAAAAGTCCTCCGGGGTCAACACTGACGTTCACAGGGCCTCAGTGGCTATTCAAAGAGCTCTCACCAGGACCCTTCATCCACAGTCTCTTCCCACCCACCTGTCCTGCTCTGTAAATCTCAGATGGCCCAGCTGTGCTATGGTGAGTATAGACAGCTAAGTTAGGTAGAAATATCATAGGCAGTCAGATAGGGCTGGGCCCTCAACAGAGTCAGTGCAAAAGATGAAAATACATAAAAGGGGAAGGGGAAGTGGGATGGATAGGGGAAAGGAAAGAAGGGAATGGAATTAATATGAGAAAATGAAAAAATGGAAACAAAGTCTTTATAAATAGGGAGGACTTGTTCAATCCCTGGTACCAAAAATAAAAAAATAAAAAATAAAAATAGGGAGGAGTGGAGGCGTTGAAGGGAGGGCAGGGGAATGGGGAAAAAAAATAAGAACCAAGATAGATTACATGAAGGTACAAATTTCCAATGCTGAATGTCATTATATTGATACCTAAAATGTACCAATAAAATTAATTTTTTAAAAAAGATGACAACACATTACAACCGTGGCTATAGATGCATCTGTTGGAGACCAGGCCCGAAGATAAAAGACAAAATGACCAGGCCTGCATACTTCCCCAAAGGACAAGATAAGCGGTATCACCTGGCCTAATGAAGTCTAGATCAGTCATCCCAGAGGGTGACCAAGACCTCCGGACCATCACTTCCTAGAAAAAGTCTTTGTTCTTTCCATGTACACCTGTTACATGACTGGTTTCCCCATTTCACTGTTACCTAAGTGACTATACTTGTAACCTTATTGGTTGTTCATAGCTTTAACCCACATTGTACCCACATGGTTTTTGCTCTATAAAACTTCCCCTGAAGTTTTCCTCAGCTACCCATTTGGGACCCCTCCTGCTTCTCTGGAGCTATCTTATCAATAAACATTTCCTACTGTTAACCTCAGTTGTTCCTAGAATTCATTCTCCGATTTTAGAGAGCACAAACTTGACATATCTAACAGGTTGAGAATTGTAATTTTTTAAAATATCATTTAGAGGTCCTATTTCATCTCCTATATCATCCCTGTATCATGATGACGCCAGCCAAGAGCAGGGCTTGCAAGTGGGCTGCCCAAGGGAGCCACCTGCCCTGAGTGGTAGCAGCCAGTGTCAGAGACAACCATTCCACATGGAGGGCTTTAGGGGGGCTTAGAGTCTAAGCAAATCCCAGCAGGGAGGCACAAGTGGCTGTAGATGGGGAGCCCACAGGCTGGGAATCCTCTGCATTGACTAAAATGTCCACAGATCTTCATTCATGTGGCTGCCTCTCCACTGTCATTCAGGTCTCAGCTCAGCTGTCACCCCTCTGAGACCCACTCTGGTCCCCCCACTCCAAAAGAGCCTGTTCACCCTCACCATTTTCTTCATGGCATTTTCAGTTTCTAATAATATTTTGCTGATTGTTTATGGTTTTTCTCTCTCCAATTAGAATGAAAGCTCCAGGAAGGCTGGGGCTTTGTTTTAGTCACTTGGTGGGCAACCAGTGCTTAGAATGGTGCCTGGTAATAATAACTAATATTATCTGTGAAATGGACGGATGGATGGATGGATGGATGGGTGGGGCCACACAGTGATGAGGGCAGGTGTTCTGCTTTAGAACTAAAATGTTCCCCAAATGCTCATATGCTCAGAAGAAGGACTTTGGGAAGGTGATTGAATCACAAAGGTTCTAATTTCACCCCGACAAGATTATAATTTGATGGCATTGTTAGGCGGTAATGGAGACAGGAGATGAGAGGTCTTGTTGTTGAAGGAAGTGGGGCATGACCTTGGGGACGACATTTGGTCCCTGACCCATTGCTCTCTAGCTCTTTCCCTATCTGCTTCATGGTTGCCAGGAGGTAAAAAGCTTTCCTCCACCAAACCCTTCCTCCATGATGTTTCTACTTTGAAGTCAGCTGACCATGGACTGAAACCTCTAATACCATAAGCCAAAATAACTTTCCTCCTCTCAGTTGTTTTTTTTTTTTCTCTCAGTTGTTTTTTTAAAAGTATTTGTAATAGTGATGAAAAGCTGACTAATACAGTAGGTATAAACAGCTAGCTGGGTCAGCCTTTTCCCTCTCCTCTTCTTGCAATATCTTTATTGTTTTTCCAATTGCTAAAGTAACATGTGCTCATGATGAAATGTAAACTTTATAGAAAAAAATGACTTAGCAAGCAAAAGCCTCCCCTAATCCCACATCTTAGAGAAAGTCACTATTAACGGAACATTCTCTAGTCACCCAGATTAAATTGTATTAAAAGAAGCCAATCCATGCATTGCAGAAAGGAAAAGCATTCATACTAACAGCATGATCATTTCTCCCCTCACAGTTTTTCCCCCTGCGTATTTTATAAGTTACTATGATGTACTTACTCTAACCTGTCATTTTCACTTACTTCATCATAAGTGTTTTTCCAAGTTGCTATACAGCCTGTGTGTTCATTATTATAATGCCTAATATTCTACCAAGTGGAAAACTATAGTTCTTTTAACTGAGATGTTCAACAAAGGGAGCACATACTTCCCCCTTCCACAATTACAGCTTCTAGAGGCCACGTGGCTGTATGATGTGACTCCCACAATGACATAGCCTGAAAATACTCACCCCCTCCCATTCCATAACTGCAGTCTTGCTGGGCCCTTGGACAGGAAGCAGGCTCAGAACCAGAACCCCAGGCCTGAGCCCATGAGGGTGGGGTACAAGGCAGGCTGGTGATCCCTAGGTGCCTGAAACCTACTCACTGATTATAGCTTCGAGTGTGTGGCTCAGAACAGACATCAGGATCCCTGTGCAGGAGTGCCCCGGCTTAACCTCCGTCCTGGTGCCAGACTGGGCCTTGGTACCGTTCTCAGCAATGCAGGCAAGCATCAGCTCCAGGGTTCAGCTGATCCTTGGCTGGTGGGCGGGTGGTTTCCATGTGTCCCTGGGAACAAAAGAGGAGGCCTTCATTAGCTTAATCCACCCCCAGCTCTGGAATACCAGGCCAGCTGGAAAGGCAGAGCCAAAGCCAGACCAGGGCACCAAGGCCCCTCTCCTGGAGCCTCCCATTCCATGTGTGTCTTGACTGCTTCAGTCACGTTAATCCAGGAAGCCTGGGATGGCTACTGGAAATCCACAGGTTGGGTTAGGAATCGGGGCTTCTTGTACTATGTGTGAAAAAAACCACTTTCATATCTTTGTCCCCCAGTTATGAAGGGCAGTTGAAAACCTCGTGGATCGGCACCTGCCTTGCAAGTGCAAGGACCTGAGTTTGATCCCCAGTACCAAAAAAAAAACCAAAAAAAAAACCTCGCAGAAGACAGAAAATGTAGGATATTTGTTTTAATATTTTGAGAGTTATGTACAACCAACACAGAAAACCAGACAGAAACAATGCAAGTTAAAGCCCTCTCTACCTGCAATCCACCACTGTAATATTTGTCTCACTTTATTATTTACCATTACCATTATTGAGGCCCTTCCTCTTAACGCTGACAACTAGCTATAAGCTGATATAAATCTTACTTTACAAAATCCTTTTCTATGTACATGTTTTTGATAATCTCCCTGAGACTGGATACATGTTTTTCTCTAATATGAAGCTATGGCAGCTTCCCTGGAAACTCCCCGGCACAGAACCATCTGCCCAGCCCAAGGACAGGGCTTCAGCCTGCTCCGAAGCTGAGAACAGTGTGTGACTGGGGTAGAAGGTGGCATCATTGCTCCATGGTTGGGCCATCCAAGCCAACTGGACCATAGAGGCACCAGCCCGAACCTTCCTCCCCTCTTCCACCTCCCTCAAGCAAACCCTCTCCCTTCTGTCCCTGTGAGGCAGCAGAGGATCTGAGAAGTGTAAGGGGTAAGGGTGGAGACCTGAGCTGCACCCTGTGCCCATGTACTTCTGTGGGGGACCCCAGGTCTCCCCCAGGGGCCTGCACAGAGTGAAGAGCAGAGGGTTTGATGTGCACTGGGCTGCTGGGCTCAGCCTGGCTTGTCCCTCGCCAGCTTGTCCACAAACAGGCACCATCAGCCCTCTCCAACTGTTCATCCTCCTCTACCTCCTCTCCCAGCTGCCTGATGGGGGGCAACGGTCACCCTGGAACATACCTGTCACCCGGAGGAAAGAGCCTTAAGTGCCTGTCCAATACCCCCCACCACCAGCACATCACGTCCCATGGCCTGGGGAGTTCAGTTTCCCCCATGGGCACTTCCCCTTTTCTGGGCCCTAGTCACGAAGCAGCAACAGCACAAGTCAAAAGAGAAACAGAAACCAAAGACCACACCCTGCCAGAGTGTCTGCAGTCTGCAGTCAGCCCTGGAAGCTGATGGCCGGCTGAAGTGCTGCCAGGCAGATGAAGCTGCAGTGGTCAGAAGAGGCCCTTCCTGGAGCCAGACTTGGCTGGACATCTTCTGCTCCCCAGTCTGCAAGGGCTGTGCATGCCCACGCACCCCCAGCTGGTCAGGGTGGAGAAGACACTGGTGTAGCAGGCATAATGCTTCTTCCTGCAAGTGCACAAGCTGCTTTCTGACACTCTCTGTCTCCCAAGGGGACAGAGGCCCTGAAGCCCCTTTGTGGACTACGTGACCTGGAGCACATGACTGCATGGAGAGCCTCACAGTAATTTAAGCCTACCATCTTATGATTCTCTACGAACTCCTGGAGGGCAGGAAGGGCAGAAGGGACCACCTCCACTCTGGGCACAGGAACAGTGAGTCTCAGGACATTAAGAGATTTGCCCAAATCCGAACATTTGATGCAAATCCCATGCACCCTTCCCCAAACAGCACGCCTTCCACCTAAACCTCATCCTTAAGGCACACGTGTGCATGTGATCCACGCCATGCATCCTATGAGCCACTTAGTTTGCAAACACAGAGCTGAGGTTTTCCATCCAGCTTCTCCATCAATATCCCTGAGGTGCTCCTGGGAGCTTGAAGGAGCAGAGACCGTGTGCAATTTCACACCCTGTCATCTCCATCTGCCACTGCACCCCACTCACTCCCCACCTCTTCCAGGACTGCTTTCGCCTTTGTGAGGCCACCCACACCCTCAGGTTATCCCTTCTTTGATGCTCCCTGGGGACTGTGATTTTACTTCCATTGACACATGCTGTCCCACCTGAAAATTATTCCATGTGGGTGTTTCCCTCAACAAATGGTGAATTCCTAGAGGCCACACTATTTCTGTTGGATGGATGGACAAGCAAGTTGGAGAAGTATGCAACTAATTTCTGAGTGATGGAGTCATCCAGCGTATTAACCAAGCCTAGCAATGCAGTAATGTAGTCTAGTTATTATAAATAGGCAGTTCTAGTGCAGCCTAATGATAAAAAGATAAAAGAACTACATTAAGCAGCTAAGCCAAACTTAGAGATCCAAAGGTAAACACAAGAAGGATAAAAGCTACAAAAAAAAGGGAGATAGAGACCTTTCTTCCCAGGAAGAAGATATGCGAAATTAATTGACAGTTCCTCCCTACCTCCTGAGGACCGGATTTCCATGGGACTTCAACCACACTCAGAAAACATTAGAAATTCAGAATAACCAGTTTCCTTTGAACTCGTTTCCTGTGAACCACTTAAATAATGAATTTCCTTTAAATCCTAAACCCGTAAAGCCACCTGTTTAAAACAAGTGCCATATACAAAGCCAAAATAAAGAAGGAACAATGGACTTCCATTCGGAATTCTCTCTTGTGGGTATCCATCAAGAGCTTTTTTCCTTCTTCTTTCTAATAAACACACCCCTAAATTTCTCCTTTTGTCCTCAAATTCTTCAGTTTTGGGAGACAAAGAAATTGGGTTTATACAAAATTAACCGTTTGTGTAATGTCTGCTGTACAATTTCTAGGGTAAGTCTCTCTTCCACTAAGCCCCATAAACATGGACATAAACGGGTCAAGGCAGATGAGAGGAACAAAAAGAGTGCTCAAGCTCCTTTCTCCCAGCTCCAAGCACCATCACATGGACTGAGAGGTGAGGGAGGCAACAGTGAGTGGCTTGGGTCTGCATACTACAGAAGGCTTGTCCAGTGTCACACCAGGAGGCCGGGGGCGGAGACAGAACGTCCCAAGCATCCTGGGGACTGCGGCTCCTACATGGACAGGAACGGGACCGGTGGGTCCAGGTCAGAGAATAACAATGCCTATTCTGTTGCTTCTACACGTGGGCACTCTCAAAAGGCATAGCCAGTTTTCTCGCACAAAGTTTCACTTCCCGGAGAAGTTTAACCAGCAGCTGCTGGTGGAAAATTCCCCCTGCATCATTTCTTCCCTCTATAACTGGGGTAAGCTGGGCTTGAAGGATTGAGACTCTGCTTCTCTGAGCAGAACCCAAATCCTCCCACCCCCTGGAACTAAAGACTGGAGCCAGGAAGTATGCAGGCAAACACCACCCCCTTTCCTTTCCCACTGTCCTCAGCCTTAACCCTCCCCACATTTCCCAGTAAAGGAAAAAATAAAATATTCTCACACTCAACACACAATACTTCTTGACCAGATGTGTGGGATCCCCCCCGACACACATACACACCCAGCAGTTCTCCAGAGGACGCCAACTGTGTATTCTGCAATTCATTTTCTCTCAGAGTCTATCTGCCTGGAGTAATGGCAGATCCTGTATTTTGAGGACTCAGGCTCACAAGACTGTCCCCACTATGGATGTTATCCAAGCAGTACGTTAGCCCCTGTGCGCCTCACTGGCTATAAACCACGGTTCACATTTCACAAGAAAGGTTCACCCCTTTCTTGGGTCCAATTAATTTGCTAGGATGGCTTTCAGAACTCGGAAACAAGTGTCTTTACTGGAGCAGGAAGATGCAGACATAGATAGACAAGGTGTGGGGGCGGGGCTGCTTACCTCCACACTCAAATACCTGTGTGTTTGGCATCTGAGAGTTCATCAATCTTGTTCAAGAGCTTATAGAGAGCTTTATCTCCAGTTCTCACCTCTGACCTTTTGGTTGATGAATGGGGATAAAAGTTCCAAGCCTGAGATCTCCTGATCACTTGGTCTTTTGTTAATTGGCCCTATCCTAAAGCTAAGGGGGTCCCAGTCTAAGTACTTCATTAGCAAAGTTGCATTAAGGAGCCCCCTCATCATTCAAAGCCTTCCTCACTCTAATTCTCCCCACGTGACCAACTGCTTTTCCTTATCTGCTGGTATGATCAGCCCAGAACACTAGTGAATTTGGCAACTTCTCAAACCAAGGAGTGACCACATTCAGCTACAAATCCAATTGGTGTTCTAAATCCACCCCCCACCAGGAGAAAGCTGTGTCTGGCCAGGTCCCCTGGGAAAAAAGGAGGAGGTGTAGGGGGGTGGGAGGGATGGCAGCTGGGGCCCACTGCACTTGGCTCTGTCCTTCCACTCCATGCCCTTGCACTGAGCTTGCACTATGGATTTCCCAGCCTGCCTGACATCTCACCTCTATCTTCTGTTTCACTTGGAGGCCACCCTGTCCTGTTGCTCTCCTCTTCTCCCTTCTTCCTATCTAGCTCATTCTGCTTTCTGTGCTTCTTCCAATGACCCTCTGTCTCTCTGAGAGAACTCTTGACTCCTACACCTCCAAGGGTGGTCTCTGGCCTTGCTTCTCTCCTTTCCCTTCATCCCACTCCCTGGCACTGCGTAGTTCCTGCTTGCTGCCTGAAAGGCTGGACAGCTGCTGGGCTCTCTAATTAGCTGCCTGGCTGCAATCCCAGAGCCAGGCATGTGTTACTGTAAGGAGCTGCTGCACCTCCCCTCCATCAGTAATCCCCTCTGCAGACCCCATTGGGCAGCAGCCGGGGGCCCTAGAATCCTCATCACAGGAGACCAGCAAGCCTCCTCCTATCATCCACAAAGTCACCAGGAACATATGTGGGTTCTCACCATAGGGCTCTGCAGGTTACCTCAGCACACCATGCCTTCAGGAGCAACAGGGATCCTGCCCTAGGTTGCCTCAGCAGTGCAAGCAGAAAGAAGCCCAGAAGGTCTTCTGGAGATCAAGTCTGGATTGGCCCAAAATGTAACACCAGAGCTCTGCTTCTCACAGCCTTCTTCAGCCAAGCTGGCCCAGAGATTTCCAAACAACCAAGGAACCTAGTCTAAGAAGTCCTGTTTACACAAGGTATAGAATTCCAGTAGTACTTGCTGAACGCTAGGTGCTGTATACTAGGTGTGAATAAGACAATGCTCCTGCTCCCTGGAGCTCACAGGCTGGGGAGGAAAAAAAAATGCCATCAAACACACACAGAATTTCTAACATAAAGCCACAAAAAACGGGGAAGGGTATGAGGGGACAGAAAGAAACTCGACTCTCCCCCTAGGGCAAGTCTTAAACTTCTCTAAGGAGGTAGCTTTTGGGACAGACCAGAAAGATGAGAAGAAGCCATGTTTTGGGGACAGCAGGCAGAGGAACAGTAAGTAAAGAGACCTGGAATTAGATAACAGCTAAACAGTTTGAAAAATAGCAAGGGCAAGCAGCTCAGTGGCAGAGCGCTTATAAAGCATGTGTGAGGTCCTGGGTTCAATCTCCAGCACTGCAAAGGAAAGAGAGAAAGAAATAGGCCGGAGTGGCTGGTATGGGGGAATGTGAGCACTGGACCTGCCTAGCCAGCCATGGGTCTCATTTCCGAGACTGGGGACTGGCTCAGGGATGGGCGTGGTCCAATCAGAGCTGATCCAATCAGAGTTGCTCCTGGGACTTTTGTTGGAATGGCCAGAAAAAACCATTACACATGAATTGTAAGAGGACAGGGTTATGAACTAAGCTGTGCACTGGGTCCCAACACAGCAGACTGAAAGTCAAAGTGGAGTCACTCTTTCTTAGGCGCCATATCACTGAGTTCAAACTTATCCTGCCCTGAGCAATCAAGATTAAAGTGATAAGAACCAAATTTCTCAAACAGGCCAATTTCAACTGGCATGATAATGAAGTTCCCCTGCTTTAACCATTACACAAAAGAAGTCACCTAAAATAACTCAATGTTGACTGATCAATTTTTTTTCTACTGTTCTATCACCACCCTACAGGGAACATGGCTTTGAAATGACCAATGGGGGAGGAGGGGTTTGACCAATTTGCTTTTTGTTCTTTAGTTTCCCAGACTGCTAGGATTATGGGCATGAGCCACCATGCCTGATCCTCCCAATTATTATTATTACTTTTAAAAATGATCTGAATTGACTTTGGTTTTAATTCTACACTTCATTCCACAAAATACAATAAGTATTCCAATGACCCAAGCAGAGGTTGGTTTTATAAGATTGGAGGTTTTGTAAAGGTTGAAGATAGTAGGAACAAAGGAACAAAAGCAGATTGGTCAGAGTTTTGTGTATGTTAGTCAAGTGCTCTAACACTTGAGTTACCTTCCTTCTAAGCGGGGAGAAGGAGAAAAAACCCCAGCAACATAACTGATTAGTTAAATTTGGATTATTTTACTTTACTTTTTTTGGTTCTTAACAGAAATTAAGGCAGAAGGCAGGTGGGCTGGAATATGACTATAACCCTAGCACTCTGGGAGGCTGAAGCAGGAGGATTGCTAGTTTAAGTCCAGCCTAGGCAACTTAGTGACTTAGTGAGACCCTGTCTAAAAGTAAAAACGGTCTAGGAACCAGAAGTGCTGGAGAGTACCTATAATCCCAGCACTCTGGGAGGCTGAGGCAGGAGGATCACATTTTGAGTTCAGCTTGAGCAATTTAGTGACTTAGTAAGACCATGTCTTAAAAATAAAAAATATAGGGCCGGGGATTTATCTCAGTGGTTCCGCTGCCTGCCTCGCAAGCACAAGGACCCGAGTTCGATCCCTGGTACCCCCAAAAAATATCTATACATAGCTTAGTGTAAAGGCCCTGGGTTAAATTCCCAGTACCAAAAATCCAAAAACAAAACAAAAGACTTTAAAAAACGGTACAGTGTGATGGTTAAGCTTGCCAACTTCACTAAATTAAAGAGACTCTTGAAGAGGTGACTGGATCATGGGGGGTGCTATGTGCATGAGTGGATTATTCCACTGGTGTCCATAGCTGAATGTGGCTGTGGGGTGGCTGGGTGGGGCCTTTCTACATCTTTGGTGGAAATGTAAACTAGTACAACCACTATGGAGATTCCTCATAAAAGTAAAAATAGAAATTCCATTTGACTCAGCTATTCCCCTTCTAGGTATCTTCCTGAAGGAGTTAACATCCTCACATTACAGTAAAACATGTATAACCATGTTTACAGCAGCACAATCCCTATTAGCTAAATCTTAGAAGCGGTCTATAAACCCCTCAATACAACAGATGAATGAATAAAGAAAATGTGTATTTGTACACAGTGGAATACTATTCTGCCATAAAGAAAGATAATCTTGAGGCATTTGAGGTGAATGGATACACCTGGAAACCATAATATGAAGTGAAATAAG